ATGTCCAACAACAGCATAAGGTGGTGTATTTCTAACTGTGTTTCCTTTTGCAGCTTGAGCAGCAGTCTGTATGTCTGTCCCTGCTCCTGCAGTACCTGCGGGGTGGTGTGAGCACAGCTGTACTGGGAGCTGACTGGGGCAATCAGGCAGCAGATGCTCTCACCTTTCCCCTCTCCAAAGGAGAAGCTGCTTCTGAGCGTGGCTTTCCTGCTTTCTCAAACCCTGGCAGGTCCTGAGCAGCTCTGAAAAGAGAATTCAAGTGGAGGAGATGTCAAACCAAGGATTAGCATTGTGTGATTTTGACAGTTCATATTTGGTAATTAATTCATGAACTGTAGGGCTGTTCTGTGTCACTGGCAATCCAGATTTTCCACCACAGCCAGTTGGTGATTATCTTTGCAGGTGGATGGTATTCTCACGTGGTGTGAATGATTATAATAACACGTATCCTGACATTGTCTGACAGTGGTTCTGACCAGGTGAAAGTTAAGTTGAGACAAGTAATGACACATTCAGAATCGTAGATGTCTGGATCATTGCTCTCCTTACTAATTTGCTTATGGCAGTAAAAATATTAGGTATCTGTTTTCCTAAAGATACTGTGCTTCTTATATACACATAGGTTTTAGTCTAATGAAAAAATATACTGTCTTTTTTTTTTTTTCCTATACGTTCCTAACTTGGATAAGGGACACTTCTTTCAGGAATGTACTAACTTTTTTATTATTACCCGATTTATTTTTCTTCTTTTCTCTTCTACCCTATACTCCAAAGGAGAGCTCATCCCTAGGGGAGCCTCGTACGTCACTTACATTAGCAAAACTCCTAAACATACTGACACTTCTGGGACTTTTCCAGATTCAACCAGTTTAGCTGTTAAAGGGGAAAAAACACCAACCAACCAAAAAACAACTTCTCAGCTTCACAAGCTATAAACTCCCAACAAACCACCACTCTGAGTCGTACACAAATCTCAGCAAGTTATATGAACTTCCACCGAATTAATACTTTCAGATCTTGCCGAGTAAATAAGCTATCTCCATCTAATTATTATTACGCCGAGGCAGGAAAGGCGTAATGCTGACTAGAGGAAACAGCAACGGTGTGCAGGGGTTTACTATTGTCTTGGCTTTTGAGAATGGGGCTTTAGGGGGGTGGGGTTTGGGGTGTTTTGCTCTTTGGTTTTTTTGAATTGCTGTCTGTGTGTGATTTTTGTACTCTTTGTTCCTGCAGTGTGCTTCCTCTGAAATATGTCAGTTTTCAGAAATTGCTGCAGGATCCAACTTGTCTTCAGAAACACAGAAAGACAACATTTTTACTGGATATGACTAGTGCTTTCTAAGAAGTGTGCTTATTAAAATATACAGGGTTTATCTGTTATTTTGAAGTTTGCATTACTTTCTCCATTGATGTGTTGTCCCTAAAAATCCCTGTAAACCATCCTAAAGGTCTTGTTATTAGTTTGTTTCTGGCAAATTCCTTATACAACAACTGAGAATCTTCTATAAATATGTTTTTGCAAATCTTTTTGTGTTGGTTTATTTTTTTTCTTCCTTTCAGCAGATGCCTTTTGATTTGTTTTGGTGGTTTTTCTTGAGATAGAGGACATTTTTAAGCTTTATTTTGGAAGCAAACCTGTAAATATTAAAACTTCTCTAAGTATGTATATCATCAACTATGTAAGGTGCTAGCTTTAGAGGGTCTATTTTGGTACTAATTAATGTATTCAAATCAGGAAAAAAAGTGCTCTGCTTATACAGCTTTCACGATTGCTATTTATAGACTTCTCATCTTCCCTGTTAGCGGTAGGTGTAATTAACAAGCCATCACTGGGAATTTTCCTAATCACAAAAGACTCTTAGTTGTAAGCACAAACCAGTCTACACTCAATTCTGAGTTTGTAGAAATGTGGGTAACTTCTGTCAGATGTCCTACCTCATCCTAAATCCATGACCTTTTCATGTCCCGCTCCCTTCTGCATCTGATCACACACTTTAGGAGAACTAGGGTTTGGTGAAAAAGAATGGGTTTGTCCAATTTAAAACAGCTGGTTTTGCCAGCAGTAGAATCCCTGTTTGCTTCTGTTGTCTTTTAAAACCTGCCCTCCCAGAAACCCTCTCACCTACTGGGGTTTTTTGCCTTTTATTGGGAAGGAGTGAATGAGTCTCTGGTAGTTTCCTGATAGTCAACACCACAACCTACATGTCCTCTCGGTGCACTTGAGAGGCAATTCCTAACACTTAGTATTATTTGTGATGTTTGGGATGATTTAAATTTCCATGAACCTGTTTAGTTCTTCAATTTCTTTGAATTTGAAAAAAGGTCAAATACTGCTTCTGTTTAAAGACAGAGAGGGAAAACGCCCCTGTGTACATTTTTCTCTTAACCTATTGTTAGCTTCACTTTTTAAGTAAAATTTCATTGGAAGTACAGCGCTTCAGAGTGCCCTTACAAAGTCACAGTTTTCTACTAAGTACTTTTCCTGTTGAAGAAGATAATGTAACACCTGGTGTGGGGGTAGGAGGGAGCCTACAACAGCAATAAAACCCCTGAAACTCCCTAGCTTGCAAGGTGATAAAAAAAAATAAAAGGGACATTCTTGAAATAAGCTGTTTGATAACATTTATTTCATATTAAATTAATTTTCTTGGTCAAGAGTGTTGAATGAATTCAAGGATTCAAATCATCAAAAATAGAAATACGAAGAAATTTTGTTGTCAAGCTACACTTCCAGAACAGAATCCCAAATTTGCATTTATAAGTTGAATATGAAGTTGGGAGATACCCATTGGATAAGAAATGTTTTCTTCCTTTGATATATAATACCCACATTTAGCCACAGAAACTTACTTTATTTAGAATGTTATTTGTGCACATTCCCATATAACCCTTAACCTTCAGAGTTCTCCTGTGAGCCAAGTAGTACTTATTTTGGAAATAGGAAAACTGAAAATATTGTAGGCTGCTTTGCTCAAGGAGTGATACAACTTAGAGGTACCAGCTGCCTCTGGCTGCCTGTCCTGTGTGGTGTCCTTTAGAGTGTACTGTAGCATAGACTGTCATGGCTTGGGTGAGGTACCAACAGACCTCCTGCAGCTGTAGGTTCTGTCATTAACAAGTGTCCTGCTAAGGCTTGCTCTAAGCAATCCTTTATCCCCACTCTAATGATGACTGTTGGAACCTTCAAAGAAAGATCAAAGTAACATTACAGAAAGATACAGTTCTTATCTCAACACCTGTTAGAAATTCTCTAGAGAAACCCTTTAATTCTCAATTATTTCTTTTTAGCAGTAGCACCTTAGGCTGGTGCTGGGCTGTTGGCTGGGGCAGCCCACAAGCAGCTCTTCACTTGAGTGGCCTTTGGTTTCTGCTTTGGGAGTTACTGGAGAGGAGCTCTCCTGGGTTCGTATCACTCCAAATTTTATGGAGAAATGTAGCTCACTACCAAAGGGAGAGAAAACAAAGTTTATGGATAAATGTAGCTCACTACCAAAGGGAGAGAAAACTAGTCCCGTTTTTCTTGGATGCTGTGAATTTAAATTCAGAAAGGTTAAGAATTCTGAAATACAACCCAAAAGCATTCCAATGTAGCGGTTACATTACTTACAAGAAAAAAGATACTTTCTGAGTATAAAGGAGATCCTTTTTACAAGATTGTATTTAGAAGATGACCGTATGTGTAATCTTATTTCAGATGAAAAGAGCCACAAAGTCTGATGCAAGAAATTGAGATTTGAGAATTCCCTTTTGATTAAATTATATATATTCCTCTGAACTATCTAATTCTTAATTGGGTATTAAGTATATAATAGGGTAATGTAAAGGAGTAGGAGAACTGAACGGTGATGTATTTAGTAATGCTTTCTGCAATTAAAAACCCTGAGGAAGGGTTATGGTTGTGTGATCAGCCTTGTATAAAAATAGTAGGGTCACCTTGTCCTTTGAAATTGATTTTGCTTGCCTTAAAGGAAATATCCAACTCGCTGCAAATCATTCACTCTTACAGGTGGACATTCTAGTATAATTCCTTACAAAATAAAGACGATGATGAAATTACTGGTTCTGTAAAGATATCCCTTTAGTATCTTTAAAAGAAATTGTGGTTGTCTGTCATGCCACACAGTGCAAAATATGTGGTGTGAGGGGAATTTTACACCGCTTTAAAATATTAACAGCATTTCCCTTTATAAGCAGTAGATTTTATTGCCAGAAATCGATTCCATCCCCAACCCTCCTGTCCAACACGTGCTGCTTAATATGTTCAAATGAGTAGCTTTGGCTTACTTTCTTTTGAGATCAGAAAATGTTAGGTTACAGCTAAATCTGGAGGTGACTTATAAAGAAATGTAAAACACTCCAGGAACTATGAAGGTGCTTCTCTGAGGGAGGGAGATTTGGGGCCATGGGTGTGTTAAAGGACAAGAGAAGAAAAAAACCCAAAACTAAATTAGATGGGAGCTCCACTATTTTTAATTGCTTCTTTTTGCGTCACTGACTTTATTTTTTTCCATGTATTTTTTTTGTATTCTCAGCTTGTAAGTTACACCTCTTCAGATGTTTTTGTTCAATGAGTTTAACTTTTGCCAGCAGAGGGGTGGGAGGCCAGGGGCGTTCTTTGCTTCTTGTCATCAGCAGCTTTTTAGTTCAGCTTCTGGAAGGTACATTCCCAGCAACAGGAGTATTTAGTTGGGCTTGTCTTTTGCATTGACAAGTGTTTTGACTTTCATGCCTGAAGCTGTTGCACGTAAAGCTTCTCTTTGGAAGGGCTGTGGAGCGGGGATATGTGTAATGACATGCAAAGGTGTGTTTCAAAGCTGGTAAGCTATTAACAGTGAACAGCATGTTCTATGGGATGGTTACCTTTATCCTGAAATTATTCTAGCCTGTACTAGTAATATGTTAGTCAAAAGTGATTGGCAAAACTGTTGTAAAATTTTAATCGGATGCCTTCGGGTCCAATGGAAGAAATTTAATAGTTTTGCATTTTCATTTCTCCTCAGAAAACCTGAAAAAGGAGTCCAGTACCTAATCGAGCGAGGTTTTGTGCCAGACACTCCGGTTGGTGTTGCCCACTTTCTCCTGCAAAGGAAAGGTCTCAGCAGACAGATGATTGGAGAATTTTTGGGAAATCGGCAAAAACAGTTCAATCGGGATGTATTAGAGTGAGTATTGTGTGTGGGGAGGAGGTAAGCGTATTTTAATCTTCAAGTAAGATATTTCTTCAAGCTGGAGGTCCCAATGGTCTCTGAATTGTGCTTATCTCTGGATCTTGTTCTGAAGGGAGGGGAAACCAGACTCTGAGGGTTAAGAAAGAAAACACACACTAGCAAATATTTATTTCTTTGCTTTCCAGCTAAGTTACTGTTTTTGTTATCGATCCAGCAAGATACTTACAAGGATTTATATTCCCTTTAGTCATGTACATTTACTCTGAATTTATGTTTTAATTTTATTTGTGTTAAGAATATCTTATTTCGAAGTCTTTTTCCTTCCTCAGGCTCTCTAATGATTTACTGAATGAAGTGAAATAGTATTATATGCAACATAAGGCTTCATCAGTAACAGAACATGAAAATAATTATTACAGCCAAATGGCTCAGATGTTAGATAAACAGGGATTTCAGTGGATACAGGCAGATGCGTACAGACTATACAAACTGTTCTTTTCCAAAAGATTAGATAAACAGAAACATTTTTAAAAACCAAAAAAATTCCAAGCAGAAAATTAGATTTTTCGGCAGCTTGGTCATAAATTTCTAAACTTGTATACAGACTACACCAAAAATAAGTTGCTTTATTTTAAGAATGTGTTCATTAAAAATGCGTATTCTTGGGGGCTGCTTTTTGCATCTGATACACTGCTCTGTAAACATCTTAGCTTGGTTTTGTTCAAGGAATTGTATAAAAAATTTAGTCAGACGTTCAACAAAACTGCTTAGAATGAAAGCAAAAAAACCTCACATCTTGCCCATTAAGGAAGACAAGGAAAAATTCTGACCACAGGTTTTAACCAGACTATGATAAAAGCCGTGCTGAAATTTGCATTTGTCTGTAGATGCAGTCTTTCTTGAAGACTGAATCTTGATACCTAATATTGATCCTATAATATTGATACATCTCAAAAATGTTGTTTGTAGTATTATGAAGTAATATTGATTCTATAATATTGATACATCTCCAAAATGTTGTTTGTAGTATTATGAAGCAATGTGTCTGCCAACACCTCCTGTTCTCTTTGTGTGTCTCTCACCTGCTCTCACGGGCTGTGTGCTGCTGCAAAGATGTTGGTCACATGCCCTGCAGTCATCTTGGTCTTACTCTTACACTGTCAGAACTTATGTATCTCAAATTGCAAGTACCTCCTGTTCTCTTTGTGTGTTTCTCACCTGCTCTCACCAGCTGTGCTGCAAAGATGTTGGTCACATTCCCTCCAGTCATCTTGGTCTTACTCTTACGCTGTCAGAACTTATGTATCTCAAATTGCAAGCTTGAACACTGTATTCATACAGCTCATGGCATGTGTACATATGCCGTAGACCTTTTTTCAGAGGTCTTCTCTTTCTTCCCTGGGCCTTGTGTAGTGCAACAGCCAGCAGAAGGCAATGGAAGAGGCTCTGTAGCAAAGCGTGCAGGGAGGTGTAGGAGCCAGCCTTACAGCAAAGAGTAATAGAATATGGCTTCCTATTGATGTGATCCCTAGTCAGCATGAGTCATTGTGAGCTGCTTGTAATGATCATATGGATTTTGCAATTATGAGTCAGACGAGGGTGAAGACTTTTCAAAGAGTATGCCTATTTAATTTTTCTAAAAGAAAACAGTACAGGTCCAGGATGAGATTATTTATAATCTCAGATGGTTCATTTTGTGATCTTGAACAAGTAATTTGGCCTCAGCATCTCAGACTAGCAGCATATGGGTAAGTAGAGGTGTGTCTCTGCTAAGCTGGATGGTGTATCTGTGATGAGGTGAACTGTTAAGAGCAAGGTCATAGTCACCTACCTACAACCCCACAACAATCCTTTTATTGAAATTAATCTGTTCTTAAATAAGCTGCGTCAGCTATGCTTTGGGGCAAGGAAAACCCTGTAAGGAGTGCAGGGCTCACTCTTGTTAGTGTTCTGAACCTTGCCTCTGAACAGGAACAAGGTATTTTTTCTTTAAAAGAGACAAGGGAATAGCATTTCATCTTAAAAATCACTTTTACAGATTGGAGGTATTTTGTTGAACTGATAATAACTCCAGGTTGTTACATAGAAAAGATATTTTAACAGATAATCCTTCCTCTGTTTTCAAGTTTCCCAGGTTCTGTAAATTAGTGTTTCAGCTGTTTGAAACCTTCTTTTCCATGGAGCTTAGAAAATGTTCAAGAGAGAAGCCTGAATTTTTGACCAAGAGCTAAATTCTGGGCCTTCTTGTGGTAGCTCAGCTGTAAAGGCGTTGTTTGGGTGGCATGGGGCTGGCATAGCTGGCACTGATGTGGTTGCCCTGGCTTTGGGACACATCAGATAGGCTTTCCAAAGCACTGCTCTTCTGCAGTGACCCTCAGCTTTCTCTCTCTGCCTGACCAGGGGCTGCTTGATGGAACCAAAGATCTGACCTCCTCTGTCTTGACTTGGCATTAAAAAAACAGAAGTGCAGGCACTCAAAGAAGAAATCTGCTGTCTCCATAGTACATAGAAAAGATTGTTTAAGACCCCTCCCCATTATGTTGTTGCCCAGTGTTTCTGGAGGTCATTAATTGCTCTAATTACTTCATGTGGACTCCAGCCTGTCTGCACATGTGCTTTACACCTTTGAAGGAGAAAAAAAGCTTTTGAAAGTGTTACAGAACTTACACTAGGTGGGAAGACTGCGAACATTATTGCAGAACTGATAATAGGTTTTTAGGTGTGGATTGGAAAGGGCGTGAGAAATGCCAGGCTTGTTTGTTTCTTTCCTTGCACTTCTGCATAAAAGGAAAAATATTCAAGGCAAGGGGAATAAATTGCTTTGGTATTAATCTATGTTAGCTACAATGTTACTAGAAGAAAAATGTGAGCTACTCTAATTTATCATTGTATATCTATACATGTAAGAAAAGGCTTTTAAAACTGGATTGTGCTTGCTTTCTGTGGTTTCTGCATTACAGTGCTGTTACTTGCAGTGATTCATGTCTGGTTATTTAAAAACTAAAAGCTAAGTTTAAAGAAAGGAAATTTATAAGCTTCTGATTTTAAAGTAGTCTTTAAAAAAGCATTAGAAAGACATAGTTTACATTGTTGATTATATTAAACTGGTTCCTTTATTATTTTTTGTCATCACTGTATTTTCAGAGCAAGAAAGTAATTATTTTTCCATAAGTGTTAACTGAAAGACCTGGCAAATGATGGGGAGAGGAGAATTATGGTAATAGTAAGAGAGTAGCCAAACAAGATTTTTTTTTTTCTCCATGTATAAGAACATTCCTAGACACAGAGCAGATTATTGTGCTTGCTGCAGGCTGTTTGAGATTTGATATTTTGAGCAGTATAAACTATTTATTATTATTGTTGTTATTATAGACATTGTGATAACTGATTAGCCTGGAAGCACAAAGCCAATAATTATTCTTGGCAAGGCTATGTCACTTACATTAGTCAGACATTTGTCATTCCAGCAGCTCTTCTGTTAAAAAAGAAAAGGGCCTGCTTACATGTCCATTCTCAGTGATCTATTATTTGCAGTCCTTCCTTCCCAGCTTACCTGCAATTATTGCAGTTGCTGCTGAATGTTTCAGAAACCTCCATGAATCTCTCCAAGAGATGGAAAATAGAAAGGTTCTTTTTGGTCTCAAAATCTTACCTTTGGTACTGTGTTGTTAGAAATTAAAAGCCACAAAGGCAATATGTTTTTATCCTAGCTGTGTCGTGGATGAGATGGACTTCTCAACAATGGAACTGGATGAAGCACTCAGGAAATTTCAGGCTCATATCCGTGTTCAAGGAGAAGCCCAGAAAGTAGAACGGCTCATTGAAGCTTTTAGGTATGATGCTGAAATAAATTATTCAGTCACCAAAACCTGGGGAAGTTGAGCATTTCGAAGTTATTTCCCTGCTTATTTGCACTGTCCTTGTGAGCTACGTACAGTTTCCAATACAGCGTGTCACTTGTGGTGGTTTTGCTAAGTACAAAATAGGAAGTTTTATTTGCTGGTGCTGTTCATGTATGTCTTTGGTATTAATGTAGCTTATCAATTAAAAGCAAAAGCATCAGTTCAAAACAAATTCAAGAATTTTTTAATGTCACTAACAATTTGCATTTAATAGTTTGTATGAGTAGAATTATAAGGCCATTTACACTTTTGAGTATATATACTCTCAATCTTTCATTAAACATTTCAACAATAGTGGGATAAAGAGCATTAACTCACTAATATTAACACAAGTGTACTTTATCCAGGGCAGGATGAGATGTAAATCATCATGTGGCAGTAAGCTATAATCAATGTTGTATTCTTACCTGGTCTCAAGAGGTATTACTCACTGAAAAAAAACAGAAATACTGAAGTTATTGTAGCTCAGAATCTGTTCTAAGAAGTGAACTTACAGTGGTAGTGGAAAACAAAAAGCCTTCCACATGCTAGGGTTGGCCTTTGAAAATATGTGGATGGAAAACTAAATATATGTATGGGACATGAATAATAGCTTGCTCAGCCTCTGGAATGTAGCGGCAGTGGCTTTATTTGCTGGAATTCGAATAGTCATTCACAGCTCTGACAGCTTCCCCTCTCTGCTTTTTTACAGCCAACGATACTGTATCTGCAATCCAGGTGTTGTGAGACAATTTAGAAATCCCGATACCATCTTCATTCTAGCTTTTGCCATCATACTATTAAACACAGACATGTACAGCCCAAACGTGAAACCGGAACGCAAAATGAAGCTAGAAGATTTTGTCAAGAATCTAAGGGGTAAGCAAACTAACCATAATGGTCATGAGAGCTTTTCCCTCGAACTGTCATTAGGGGGACACCATGTGTCTTCTGGGAAAAAGACAAAATACAGGCCACTTGATTCTCATTTCACCTGACTTTTAAAACTACTGTCATTTTTACAGGCTTTAAGTTATTCCTGTAGTAGAAATAGAAAACAGAACTAAGCATATAGTATTTTGTCATTTTATCTTGTCTGCCTTGAGTGGATGTATTGTCAGGTCCTTTTATTCCCAGTTTTTAGCCAAAAAGTGACCATTACCCTTGTATTCAGAATTCCTCAGTACCTCAATTTTTTAGATGTAATTGGAATTTGCCACACTTACAGCCTTCACAAAATCACAGGGCACCTCATAAAGACAACAATTTCTATGCACGTGAATGAAAGTAAATAAATTCCGTTGCAAAGAGGGTGTGTGTTTATTTATACCTATATAAATCTTTATATAGTGTCACTGCATGTTGTAGACTATTCCTGAGAGGAGGAATGTGATTTATAAACAGTGAATTACACCACTACACTGCAGCATAAGATTACTAGTGAATTCTTATAGAGAGACTCTCTTCATCCTTTGTGATTTTGCCATAGCAACCAATGCATTACAAGGGATATCAGATATATATTCTGAAAAAATTAAACAAGTAAGGTCTCTTACACATTTTAGAATTTTAGTCTAAAAAGATATTTCTTTCCCTCCCTCATTTCAAATGGATAAACTCTTTATTAAGTAGATGTGCAGAGGAGATGGAGCCATTGTCTCCTTGTTCTTGTTAAGAGTGGTACAAACCTGGGACCTGAAGCCATGTAAACTTCCATGTTCTTAAGAGATGCAGATAAATGACTTGGCTAGAAACTTGTATGTAAGGCTTTGCCACAGAAAACGGAGCATTTGCTCGGGCTGTATATGTGTATATATTAAGGAACACAAATCACTATCCCATGATGAGTACTACTGGAAATAATCTAAAGATTTAAATTCTCAGTGGAAAAAAAAAAAAAAAAAAAAAAAAAAAACAGCTCTGAAACCTTCCTGTACACAGTAAATAGCAGAGAAATGTCTTTTCAGTTTCTTCGTTGGTGTATTTCCTGATCAAGAAACTATTTGCCAGGCTCTGGCACTCCCAAGCCTGCATCTAGATTGCCACAAAAAATATTTTGTCAATCTGTATCTCAGGTCTTTCTATGCTGGTTCTTTCTGGTGAAAAAGAACAGGTTTTTATGAAGTATCAGCACAGCCAGTGCTCAGCTCTGCCTGAATGGAAGTAGTCACTGCAGAGCTGAGGAGGAGGATTGTACATGGGGAGATGGTACCTCATAGAATCATAGGATGGTTAGAGATGGAGGGACCTTAAAGATCATCGAGCTCCAACCCCCCTGCCCTGGGCAGGGACACCTCCCACCAGACTCAAAGCCCCCTCCAGCCTGGCCTTGAACCCCTCCAGGGATGGGGCAGCCACAGCTTCTCTGGGCAACCTGGGCCAGGCTCTCACCACCCTTACAGGAAAGAATTTCCTCCTGAGATCTCATCTAAATCTCCCCTCTTTCAGTTTAAAACTGTTCCCCCTCGTCCTATGGCTCCCCTCTTCCCCATCTCTCCTGTAGCCCCCTTTAGGGACTGGAAGGCTGTTAAAAGGTCTCCCCGGAGCCTTCTCTTCTCCAGGTTGACCATCCACAACTCTCTCAGCCTGTCCTCATAGCAGAGGTGCTCCAGCCTCTGAGCATCTTCATGGCCCCTGTTCCTGGTCGCTCAAGCAAGAATGGCTCAGACAGCATTTACCTTTTATGACAGAAGAGCACTCACATGTTAGAGAAATGAAATGGGGCTGAAGTCCCCATCCCTTTTTTTTCCTAGAAGGTGGTTTGCCCGTAGGGAACAAGCAGCTTTTACTATACTTGTGTTACAGTGTGTTTATGCCAAGGCCAGGAAAATTGTCTGCTCTGTCATGGCCACCCTCTCCTCCTCCTCCTCCTCCCCCTGCTTTTAAGCACTGGATAAGCACGACTTAGCACAGTCTCTCTTCTTCTGGCAGCACTGGATGCAGCAGCACAGCAGCAAATAGGCCCACAACTACTGCTGGACACAGCCACAGCCCACAACAACAGCCGTTTTCTCAGTCCTATCTCAAAGTAGGCTGGATGGGGGAAAGACAGAATCAAGTTGCTTAATGTATAAAAATATATTGGCGCGTTTCAGCTGCGTGGCAGTTTGTATTCATGTGCCCATGTGATACTTTTATTTTAGCACTAGTAAAAACGAAATACTTGTGGTGTTCTGGAATTTCAGATCTTCAAAATGAAAGTCCTGTTTGGTGATTTTATTGCTTTAGGTTTGTACAAGGCATTAATGAACGATCTGTGCTCAGCAGATGTTTTAGCTTAGCAAAATTGCAGTTAGTGTTGAGATTTTATCGTAAAGTCCACAAAGATTAAAAAAGGCCTGACATTCATCTCTTAGCATAATACTACAGTTATATTTGTTGTTTTAAATACAGGACATTCTCTCTGACCTCCAGCCTGAATTCCAGCGATTTCTTATTATTGTAGGGATTTTTATAACAGGCTGCCTCGCCTCTAGCTTTAGATCCTGGGTTGCAGCGGTAGTCTGTGGAGGACTTGCTGGGGTGGAACAGAAACAGGCTGTTTTACTTGCTTCTAGTTGCAAAGAAATTGCATTTTATCACAGAATTTTTTATGTGAGCAGTTGTTCCACTGAGTGACAAAATATTGCATTTTGGCTTCTGAATGGGAGATAAGAGCTTATTGCTTTAAAACCTATTTAAAGAAAATAAGCATGCATCTCCCTTTTCCTCTGGAAATCCAGCTTTAAGTCACTTATTGAAAATGGGTTGGTTCGACTGTTATTAAAAATTCAGGATCAAGCCTTCAAGACACTGTGGCATTTGTTAGAGCACGGACATGCCAATTATAATCACACGGCTCGAAACAATAACACTCTAACAAGGCTATTTTGTTGATCTGTTTTTCCAGAGTAAATTAATTGGTTTTGAAATCGTACAGGAAATATTGGTTAAATTAGTTTTACTGGGTGTTCATAAAGTTCTTGTGTAGGAAATTATTTTCTGAGAGGTGTTGAGTAGTACTGGGACAGAGGCAAAAGGGAACAGTTGTTGTGTTTCCTCCCAGTGGTTTACTCCTAGAAGGAGGCCATACGGAGATTTTAGTGCCTGAAGGGCTGTGTTAGCTGGCAGAGTACTGGCAGCTAGAAAATAAAACAGCAGCAACAAGGCAAAATGGGTGTTCCCCTTAGCAGGGGAAACAAAGTTTGCCTATGGTTTTAGCCTCTCCTTGCTGAGAACTAACAGTGTGTGTTGGTGAGACCGTTGAGAGCCAGGCTGCTCACAGGAACTGTTGGCTTCTGCAGGTGTGGATGATGGGGAGGACATCCCCCGAGAGATGCTGATTGGGATTTACGAGCGAATCCGCAAACGGGAGCTGAAGACGAATGAGGACCACGTGTCCCAGGTCCAAAAGGTTGAAAAACTCATAGTAGGAAAGAAACCGGTAAGTTCCCTTCCCACTGCCTGTCAGTTACTAGGGGGATGTAGGAGAGTGTACAGTACAGAACAACACTGAGGTGTGTTGCTTAGAAGTAGAAATTGGTTGATAAATGGCAAAAGGCGGAAACTATCAAAATAATAATTTGCTATAAGATTGGTTTTAATTTTGGAACATTCACAGTGTAGATGAATTTTTTTGTTACAGACCCATATTCAGTAATGATGTTATGAGTCTTAAACTCTTTTCTCTATATGAAGCTTTACAATCCCGAATTACACCAAAATCTCTGCGTTTTATGCAGTTCTTATGTTTGTTTCAAGACAACTGAAGCGTGTTGGTAAAGTGATGTTGTTACAGAATTTTATTTCTACGCTATCAGTTATGGCTCCATAATTTACAAGAGTACTAGAGAACTGATGTTCACATCAGCATCCATCACATGCAGCTATGGCTGTGAACTGGTCTTTGTAAGGGGAGATTGTGTCATTTTGTCTCAGAACTTCTCTGGAAATCAGGGTTTGACCATCCCAAGATACCTCTTGCTTTGTTGTGGGAAAAATCTTAAATACTTTGCTATATAAATTAATCTTCCAAGCACCTGTTGGAAAAGGAGAGAGAAAAGGACGGATGGCCACAGCATTTTTCCCTTTGATTTCAGAGCTGAGTGAACACAGAGATATTAAGACTGATACTGCACATGCTGACAATTGTATCTAATGTGGAGAGGGACAATGGATGCTCAGCCATTCCAAATTCAAGTCTTAGAGTCATCTTCTGAAAATCTTCACATTAACAATCACAAAGGCAGCCCAGAACAAAGACAAAAAAAGATGAGACTTGCATGGTTTTGAAGTCCTACATCAGTTTTTTTGATCAGCTGTGGGGAACTTTACTGAAGCAGGGACTGATGGGTTTGGGGGATTTTTTTAGTAAGAAAAAGAGCATGGATCTCAATATTCTCTATTACTTTCAAAGAGCTTTGAATCATAATCTCTTCTCAGACAAGCCCCAACCCAGGGCTGGGGAGGAGGGAATGAGGGACCACCAAAACAAAGAAAATCCAATTTAATTTTGTTTCCCAGTAAGGAAATATTGAAGCAATCTCTTGGAAGAAGCAGAGGGGAGAGGAAGGAGAATTTTCCTAAGAAAAGCTTTTACATATTTTTGAGCAGAATGGGAAATAAGTATTGTAAAGTCAGTATTTGACAGTCGCTTGTGCCTTCAGACAAAACTTATTTTCTGTAATTGTTTGGGGATTTAGGTTTATATATAGGCTTCTGTGGGAGACAGGGCTTTTTCCCCGTTCTTTTTTTATCCAAGCATCTGGCAATTCAAATCCTAAAACTAATCCTGACCTTGTAAATTAAATGGGATTAAGAAAACAATGCCCTCAATGGAGTCCTAGGATCGAGGATTCTTCTGTTGAGGGACTTTTTAACTGTGTGAAAAAAAATTTAGGAAATAGCCAACAGTCTTTATTGATAGAAATATTTGTTTTTACTTTATAGGCATTTAGTCATAGTAAGCCCGTGACGTATTTACTTGCTATGATACAGTACTGTGTTTCTCTGAAGTTTAACGAACTTGTATATGTCTTTCTACTGTAGATTGGATCTCTGCATCACGGACTTGGTTGTGTACGTATTTTTCTCATACTCCTTCAAAGTTTATAGTCATTTTAACTGGCAGCTTTTTCTTAAACTGGCAATAATGCATTCTAAGACACTTTAGCTTTTGAAAAAATTGGATTTCTTTCAAGCAAAATTTTCCTATGGTTGTAGTAATAACTCTCCAAAGTGTAAATATTTTCTTAAAAATACATTTTCCGGAGACACTGCTTAATTTTTTGCCAAAAGTTTTCTAGTACACTTGTCATGCATTTTAAATGCTATTATCAGTGTAGAAATTAGACAGCCAGTGAAGAGTAAATAACTAAGTAAAATTACAGTTGCACCTCATCTTTCCACCTGGGCCCTGGTGTGTTTACTCTTCCAGGTCCATTGATGGACCTGAGTATTGAACGATCCTCTACGGAGTTATTGCCAGTTCATTTAACAGTTCTCTTTTGAAAGGTAGATGAACGTAGAAAATATTGATTCCAGATTTAAGTTATGGGCATATTCAATAATAATCCTAAAACTGTTTTTCTACTTGCACTTAGTTTTATTTCATGATTGTATTATTTCTAGTTGCTTTGTCTGAACAAAGAAACCACTGCACAGCAGAGAGCACATAGTGCTCTGAAATCTGGTTGCCTTACACAGATTTAATCCTCATGCTGTTTTTTTTCCCCGATTGTAACTGCACTGTGCATTAGCATCTTCACTCAGGAAAATCAGAGAAGGAACCTGAAACTTCTCTTTGTTTTTTCAGTCTTCTATTTCTTGCTTTTCCTATGTAAACACTTAGAGTCATGCCAAGCGAGCTTCGTATTCCGAAGTACCTGTCATTGTTTGGTGGGTGCCTGTCTGGCAGTACCACTGGGCTGTAAAAACAAGCTGAAAGATGTGACCTTTATAAAACCTGGTGGAAGGGAATCTTATCGGACCATCTATTGCTATGAATGAAAGCACTGTCTGCAAGCTCAGTTTCCGTCCCAGAGCTCACTGTAGCTGTGTGCGTGCTCCTGGGCTCAGTGCCTCCCCTGGGGTTTTGTTAGCTCCCTGTAGCAAATCTCCGACTGCTGTGTGCTGGGGAGAGTGAGTCTGGAGGTAGTCCTGGGCTCAGTGCCTCCCTTGGGGTTTTGTTACCTCGCTGTAGTGAATCTCCGACTGTGTGTGCTGGGGAGAGTGAGTCTGGAGGTAGGAGAGAATGGGAGCATGCAGCATTCATTCCTGCCACTTCTCTCTGAGAACCCACATGAGCTGTTCACTTACCAGAATGGCCTGAAAATAGAAAGCAGTGATTTCTCCAGCATTCTTCACCACACCGGCTCTTTCAGAACATGGCAGATTTTTTTCTTAAATACCTTCTCCTTGCAAGTTCGGGGAGGGTGATTAAACTAATGCCATAGATAAATGCTACAAGCATTTTATCTGTTATTAAAATCTCATTGGATTTTGGGGAAAAACTGAAATCTCATCAAATAACTCAATAACCAACCAGGAACAAGCGAAGAAGCAGCATTAACAGTCTTAAGACTGTTTTTCTTTGCTAGTAAATCTTGTAATTCCCATGCAGAATCAGGTATTTTAAAGAAATACAGCATATAAATGAAATTTATGTCTAATTACCAAAGAATATTCTCCACTTCAAATTTTTAAAGTTTAAAGGATTTATTTTAATATTGTTGACAAGTTATCATCATTTGCATTTGAAAGAAATTAAATTTCACTAGGTTGAAAACAGCAGCTTTGGAGGCACCTTCAGCAAATCAGAAAATGGAAAATTATTTTTGGTTTTCTTGCCAGTATGAGAAAATAAGCCAGATTGAAAATGCGTTTGCTTTTTCCTGATCTCACCTTTTCCTTGGTACTGGAGAATGAACAAATTGAATTAACTCAGAGGGTGATAAAAGTAATCTGCAACATCAGTGTATTAATCTCACAAAAGCTAAAGTTGCTTTGCATCCTTTCTTCTAATAAAGAGATGTAAAAACACTCAGGAAAGCAAACATCCTTTGCTTTGATCTCCCACTTGCTTAATCTTAAGTTCTTTCAAGGTTTTATCGTTTCACAAAGTAAAACTCTATCCCCAGTGAAACTTTCCTTGGCATCCATACACAGGAACGCAAGCTGTTAGAGAATATTTTCTATAAGAACTTTGATGAAGTTTGAATGTCATGCAAGTTTGGGGCATATAAATATTTTTCTGTTGTTGGTCCTTTGATGAAAAGTCTAATGGGCTTAAAGGTAAAAATATTTGAAGTGTTCAAAAAAAGACTTTAGGTTTTAAAGGCACTCTTTCTTGGCTAAATATTGCTGTATTAACCATGAACTTTTGTATTATCATAGGTCCTCTCTCTACCCCACCGGAGGCTTGTTTGCTACTGTAGGCTGTTTGAAGTTCCAGATCCAAATAAACCTCAGAAGCTTGGATTGCACCAGCGAGAAATATTTTTATTTAATGATCTTCTTGTGGTATGTATTTTCAGGTGGATAGACTTGGAGTGAGGTGTTCAGAAATGCCGAGCTCCATGAAATCAGTGACAATTAAGTGTATGAGCATTCCTGAAACTAAGCGTCTATTACTGTTACTCTGTACTCCAGCAATCTTGGGATAACTAAGATGTAAATTTTCTTAGTTTTCTTCATTATATATAATTTGCTTGTAAACTGAAGCCTTTTATTGATTACTGTGCTCTATTGGAAGAACATACTTTGATGCAATAGCTTTTACTATGAAGAACAAAAATTACCTCCAGTTCACCCATTTCCCTAATGGGTAAACGGAGACATTCTTTATTCTGTGAATAATGAATTCAAGTTTCTTATGGAAAAACAAAATAGTACTACTTTTTATCCCCCAGACGTTCTGTGGACCAGATATGCTTATTCATTGAAATAGGAATAGGATATGTGGAAATACATTTTTACAGTTGACCTTACTTTTTAGTGTGCATTTAACTTGGCCCGGTCTTTTGAAAAACAGACATACAAAACTAGTGACAGCTTGGAATTTTTTGGTTGATTTCCTCCTAAAAATAGGAAAATTTGTTGCACTGTTTGGAATGTATATGGTTGTTACCTGAGAACTAAGAACTAAACTAAATATTTCATGTTTTGTTATGAAAAAGGCACACTTCAGATGCACAGTTTTATAGTGTGCAATTTTAACATGCCCTTAGACCTTAAAACCAGGAAATAAATTTAAAAAAATGTAATCCTTTTGATTGTGAGTATAACCTCCTAGTTGTAAATGTGAGCTTGTGGGTAAAATGATGAAACGTTGTTGTGTTTGGGTTGCAAGTTTTCTATCATTTGATATTACTCAGATGTCAGTAGTTTTATCAAAGTGTAATATAAGGGTGTAATATAGATACATATGTAATATAGATACATTTGATATTACTCAGATGTCAGTAGTTTTATCAAAGTGTAATATAAGGGTGTAATATAGACCAAATTCACCGGTCTTTGGGTGTAATATAGACCAAATTCACCAGTTCTAGTAAAATGTCATTGCCAAAAGTTAACCAAATTCACCGGTTCTAGTAAAATGTCATTGCCAAAAGTTAAAATTAGAAAGAACTACTAAAAATAAATCTATTGGTTATAAAGAGAAAGAGTGGTTGCACTCACACTTTAGGAGAACCAGAATTGATGGGAAGTGGTAGTATGTTACTTCTGTCATAGCAAAAGCTTTCCCCAGAGCTCTTCAAGAGCTTTTCTTGAGATTGGTGCTGTGCAAATCTTGGGGCAAACGGGGCATCATTGGAGGAGGTAGTGTAGGACAGTAGGTAGAGGGGCAGAGAAGAGAAGAGGGTTTGGAAAGTCCCAGCCTTGTGTGGAACGGTCCATAGCCAGGCTGTGAGGGATAGCGGGGTAGTAGCTAAGTTTTTTTAAAAGGATAATCTAAACATATTTGTATTTTGTCTAGCATATACAGTGCACAATAAGGGCACAGGGGTTTTTTATCTTTCTGGAATCTCAAAAGTAGAGTTCTGGAGGATAGAGAACACAAAGGCTTTGTATCTGGATAAAATATTTAACCTTCTGCTTAAGAGATAGTAATGCTTCAAAGCGAGCTCTGTTTCTTCAGTAGTAGTAGATGAAATACATTGGTTGCATTTAAAAAAGGAAAAAATTACAGGTTCATATTTTCTGGCCGATTATAGCTTGCTTTGGCATAAAATATTTTATTATATGCTAATTCCTAAGAACAATAATTTTCCACAAACACATATGGTAAAAGGGCTATTTCATTTTGTTTATTTGATAACTTCCAGGTCACCAAGATTTTTCAAAAGAAGAAGAACTCGGTTACATACAGTTTTCGACAGTCATTTTCCCTCTATGGAATGCAAGTTCTTCTTTTTGAGAACCAGTGTAAGTCTCTCCTCTCTTTTTAGATGACCAATATTATTTATCAATAAAATAAAAAAATTGTGTGAGTGAAAGGGAAGGACAGGACTTGATTCTGAATTTAGGAATAAAATTGCTCTAAAGTTTAAAACAAGGTAATGTCAGTGTAAGAAGCAGCAAGAATGCTGTTAGATTATTTTTTATGGTAGTCAGAAGCCAAATCTAGCCAGACGTGTTGTTTGTGAATACTTGTAAAGAATAAAATGTTTGTAAAGAAACAAATGTATCTGGTGCTGAGTCAATGGTACAGTTAGCTGCAACTGAATGTGTGATAATAAATAATGGGTATTATAATGACACATGTAATTCAAAGCACTGTGTAATTCATCTTCCTGATTTATATCTTAACTTTGTGCCTAGGTAATGTATACTCATTCAAATATAAATACAAAGCATAGAGTCTTCATTAAAGTTTGTATATTCTGACACCTTTTGTTTATGTCAGTTGTAACCTGCATTAATCCAATATTCTTACCTGCGAAGCTTGTCTAGCTTAGTCTTAGCAGACAAAAACACAACCAAAAGCAAATGGTTTGCTAATGTCCTAATTTTAAGCCTTCACCTTCACGATGAATTGGTTACAGTTTTGTGTGATAAGTGGTAGTTTCTGTGCTTTTCTGTTGTAGAAGGCTCTTAGTTTTCACTTGTCCTTGAGAATGTGCTCCAGTGCTCATCTCACTCAAAAGAAGTCGCTGCTACTGAGTCAGAGCATCTGGAGATTTCAAAAGGGAAGATTTTGTAGAGGTTATAGCAGTGATGTAGCCTGCAGATTATTTGTATGCATACACATTCATTCTGTCTCTCATGCACACATTATGTGATATGAAATTCATTTTTAGAGAGGAAGGCCAAATATTTCTATCCTAGGTTCTACTAAAAATAGAATAATACATAATTCCTCTGATGTCAAGCTTAATAAATTTTAAAAAGAAATATATCATAAGCATGCTAAATAGAAACACTTTATTCAAGTAAACTTAAAAATATCTATAATGAAACTGGGGTTTGTGACCTGGAGGCATTTTAACTGAGACTCAGTAGACAGAGGTGGGCTGGTGAGGTGAATTCCCTATGGTGAATCAGTGACCTGCCTGTACGTCTCGTATCGGTGCCTGCTGGGTGGAATGCAGTATTTTTCCAGTTGAGAAAGGCAAACAGTCTTCCCCTGTGGTTTGCAGGATTAATATTCTTGGTTTCCCCTGTCCTCAGCAAGCTTTGGGGTATTTTGGCCAGAGCCATCATGCCATTCGTAAATTTGTGTGTAGCAGCTGACGGAATCGGCTGGTTTCAAGTGAATAAAATGGAGTGTCACTAAAGCAGAAGCAACAGAAATATTGATTTGGGTACTGGTGAGGCTGAACACTACAGTTGGCATTGATGATAGAAGAATTGACTTCTAATGGTAGAATTCAATTATGTTGAGGGATGGATGAGCTCCAAAAGAGAAAATAAATTTCATATATTTCTAGTAAATAAATAGGCCGTAAGGGAAGTATCTTTTACATTTGCAGTCAAAATCACTGACACAATATAACGGGCGAGGAGATCGCTTCAGAGACAGCGTCAATGAAACCAGTAAACACTTACATGAGTGTTTCCTGGTGCTTAATCAATGTGATGTAGAGAAGTATCTCTGGTAATAATATATTTTTGTTTGTTTAGTATATGGAGATATATATATATATGGAGAGATACATATAAGAATTATATATATACATGTTACTTTTGTGCAAGATGTGCCGTCAGACCCTGACAGAAGCCCAAAATTCTTGCTCCTTCTTCCCCTCTGTACCCTTTGAGGCTTGTGACAGTGCACACCTTTTTTCACCTGAGAATGGGAAATGGACTTGCTTCACTTTGAGTTGGGACTCAGATTTGGAAGTTAAGATACCCTTTTAAGGGAGTGTAGCATTTGCACTTGTTTCTCAATATTTTAAGTCTTGTTGAAACATTAATGGCTTTAAGGGAAGAGACTGCCTTACATCATCTGCTGGTTCTTGAGGGAATTAATTTTTTGTACATGGGAGCACTTGAACTTCAGGTTGAACACTTAAATAAATATTTGAGAACTTTGGCAAACCATTAAGGTCAGGCAGCTGAGTAAAAGAAAACACTGTGAATTAGAATGCACATTTTGAGGTTTTCTGAGACCCCATTTCTAAAGGTCTGTGCTTCCAGCAAAGGCGGATTCTGTTTTCTACAGAAGAGTGTATCTCCACTGTAAGCTTTCTTTCTGTAAACAAACCACCTATCTCAAGCAGGAGATGGTTTTGAGCAGCTGTTAAAATTTGCCACCTCAGATATGCAACTAGGAAAAAGCCAAAGACAGTTTGCTGAAAAATCTGCCTTTTAGTGTGAAGTTGTCCATAATATGGGCCAAAAGGGGAGGGGAGGGAGGGTCCTTTTACTTCTGCAGTATGTAATTTCACAGATAATTTTAACATTTTTTCTTAAAAACAAAGGAAATTAGGGAGTGCAGAGAACAACAACTTAAGAAATGCTGAAAGCTGTACATGCTGTAGTGTGTTTGTCTTCCTGCAAACGTTAAAAGTATATGAGAGTTTCTAGTACTTGAGGTGTAGTCAAGTAACTCTGCAAAACTGAGTAAGGCAGGGAATGGGATCTCTTCCATGAAGCAAAAATGATCCCTTTAATTTTTTGAGGGTTTTTTTCAGGGATTTTTCTTCTGTATTGTCCATTGTACCTTAAGGGTAACAGCTGCATAAAGACTATCTTTCTGTATTTATTCGGTATCTTTACAGTTAAGTGGTTCCAATGTATCTTAGGGATTTTCATTCTCATTCTGTGCATTTAGACTTTTCTCTCTCTGACTTTGTTCCCCATATGGTAGTATTAGTAAAAAGCCTTCCGTTTTTTGTTTGTTGGTTGCTTTTTTTTAATAAAAAGACAAATAATTGGAATAATCAGGGCTTAGTTTTTCTTGACTCTTTCTTCTAGATTATCCCAATGGTATTCGGCTCACGTCAGCTGTTCCGGGAGCAGATATCAAAGTACTAATAAATTTCAATGCACCAAATCCTCAGGACAGGAAGAAGTTTACAGATGATTTGAGGGAGTCAATTGCAGAGGTTCAAGAAATGGAAAAGCACAGAATAGAGTGTAAGTACCAAGGTACATATAATAGAGCGTTTTCAAGCTAACAAAAACAAGAAAATCCTGAATATGTGTATAACCCATTAGAACTCCTTAAAAGTTCAAAATAATATGGTGTTTTTTCCATGGCTTTGATTCTAGAAAGAGGAGAAAAGCCCAATGATACCTTAAGCCCTGGCTGAGTTCATTGACTGTTATTTACTGAAGTGCAGCTGCAGTGGAAATGTAACTGGAAATAGCAATGGACAGAGGAGAGACAGATTTGTAATTAGCAGTATAAATTACAGGGATAGTTTACATCACTCAAATTCTCAGTGGTGATCCTCCAAATAAGTTTCACTGAATTTTTCTTCATTTCCATGTTGCTATTCCTGTATTCTCTCAATTGGGTAGCCATAGTACAAATCGATATATTTTGCTGCAAGTTACATGACCATGTAAACATGGAATTTTATCTCCTGTTTTTCTAGAAGAGGAATAGCCCTCCATCCTGTACATTGTAATATAAAGTTGTTAGTACAAGGGGAAGTTCCTCCCTGGCATGTAAGAGTGCCAAAATGGATTCTTATCTATTATTCACAGTAACACATCATCAGGTACAGAAATGGTGATGTTACCGTGTCCTTTGTTACAGTCAGTAAATATGAATTACAAAATTCTTCTCTGTCTTTCAGCCGAGCTAGAAAAGCAGAAGGGTGTGGTGCGTCCAAGCATGTCTCAATGTTCCAGCCTGAAGAAAGATTCTGGCAACGGGACGCTGAGCAGAGCCTGCCTGGATGACAGCTACGCCACCGGGGAGGGGCTGAAGAGGAGCGCCCTGAGCAGCTCCCTGCGGGACCTCTCGGAAGCAGGTAGGCACTGCCTTCAGCCTCCCTCCCCTCATCCTCACTCCCGCACGCGCAGCTGCAGGAACCATGCACAGAAAGCCCACCTCACACTGGGCACCCAGAACTAGTCATACTGAAACTTCACACCTTTTAAATAGTTCCTCTTTCGTAGAGTCCCTGTTTAATTTCTGTTTGTTTTTTTTTACCCTTGTTCTATTAAGCAACCACTCTTTGAAAGCATTTAAACCATTGTAGATTGCTATATATACTTTTAAAGGAGAGTGAAGACAGAGGAAAAATTGTAAGTGTTTTATAAAAGAAACGGTTGACTTGTGCTAGGAGTAACCCACTTAGTTTTCCTTTCTTTTTTAATTCCCCTTTGCTTCTTCCCTTTCATACAACAAGCTTAGAGAGAAAAGAAACTGGTCTCTGTGCAATGACCGCTTTCTGTGTATTTTGTGCTCAAGTGTACCTGTGTGACCACATTGATGAATGAAATTGAGTGAAGCCCTACTAAATTCTGCCTAGTGCCATGTAATTCAGATACAGGCTGTCCCTGATGCTCTTTTATTATTTTGTAACTCAAGATAGAGTTCCCAATTCTTGCAAAAGAGGTTGTTGTGAAATACTATTGCCAGTACAATAAAGGAAGCCCTAGTGGACAAGTCTACTTATATCCCACAAAACCACTGATGTGTCTTAAGATTTGTTAGCTGATTAACGTAGCTGCAGACTGAAAGGAGTGGTGGTGTGATTTTTTAGCCAAAGGAAAGCCAGGGAAAGTCTGGTACATTTTTATTTTATGCTTTGCCTGGGTAGTACCCAGCTGGCACAGCCGTGTAATGCCGGCTGCCGCGGGTAGGAACCCTATGTCTCAAGCATGTTTCACTTCATGTGAAATGTGATTCCCAGCAGTTAGGAGGAGTCACACCATCAGAAAGTACTCCTGGGCATAGTAGCAACTATAAATATATCATTTTTAAATCATTTTTTTAGTTCATAGTCTGTGTTACGTACTCTTATTTGTTCATCTAATTGCAGTGATGATTTACAGTATAGTTAATTTTAACACTACTTATGTCTTTGGTAGTAGACACTACTTGCCTTTTTCCTTTTTTTTTTTTTTAGGTAAAAAATGGATTTTATCTATGCTGTAATAAATAAAATTGTTGTAAACTGAAGTTAAAGCCTGTGTTTTGTGGGTTTATGTATGTGCATACAAATATGTAGAGAAATAGCTCTTTCAATTATTTTATTCTCTGTTTAGGCTTTCATACTCATGTGTCCATTTGCTTCATTAAAAAGAACTAGGACCTTGATCCAAAATCAGGCTGAAGTTAAATATTGGTGCTTGATTGGCTTCAATGGATTTTAGATCAAGGCACTAGTCTTCACCACTGTTAGATCTCTGATTTCAGGATTCTTCCGTCATCCTTCTTTGTTGTCTTTTTATTTCATGAAAATGAGAACTACCATATTGTTGAATATGTGAGTTCAGTGGATGTCTCTACTCATAAATGTGATTTCTGATTAATATTTTTCATCCCATAGGAAATTTTCATCCCCGTCTTTCAGACATTGCCATGTATTTAGTTCATGTTATGGGTTTTATGCAATAAACAAGTATTTGTGATCATGAAAGCATTTCACATTTCAACAGGGCATGCCTACAATTGGCATGCTTATTACTCAAAATAACTTTTTTCCATAATGAACAGTAGAAATCACTCACAGACTGCAGGGTTTATCAATGAGTTTGTTAAACCCAACTAAACTTAATTTTAACTTTAACAAATCGAGAATTATGGAGAGTTTCTGTTTGGTCTTGTGCAGTGCATCCGACTTGAGAAATTACATACCTGTTATTTGCTTTGTTATTTGGTGTAATTTTAATGAGATTATACATGTCTTTTCTGCCTTTTCTCAGTGAAGAGCTTGCATGTGAGGCTGATTTTTGTTTTAATGTGGGAGGGATGATCCATAGAAAAGCAAAGCAATCTCTTTCAGTTAGGAAGATACTGCGTCCCAGTGATTATACCACAATAAATTGCTTCTGTAAAAGACTACTGGGGTTGCCTCAGTTCTTCTTTTTGTGGGTGAAACACAGGATCAAAAAGGAGGAAGAACAGGAGTAGTGGGTCTGTGCATGGATGGGTGTCTTTCTGTAGGAAAAGGCACGATGACAGTGGATTTTTAGAGAGTTCCTTTCTACATTTAAACATAAATAACTCTAATAAACATGAGAAAATTTCCTGGTTGCACATTTATGCAGTAAGGCAGGGAATTGTCCAATGAACATTGCAAAAACAAATTGAAAAATTTTAAATATTTATTCAATGAAGCGGAAATCTGATTGAACAGTGTTTTGGTTGCACAGGTATATGACAAAGCTATGTAAGAAAACAGTCTATTACTCTCAGTATCACAGTAGTAAATGATGGCTGTGGAAAATGACTTTTAATTTCTCTCTTGGAAAAGAGTGACGATTCGTAAGCGTCTTAGATCTAATGAATATTGATAGTCTGAATTATTCTGACTCCTAAGCTGTAAACCTTAAGGAAAGGCAAGATTTCTCTGTCAGGAAACAATGTCAGGAATCGTTTCCTGATGGTTGTTCTTCCATGCATTTGCCACACTAGCTTCAATCACAATTGCAAAAAGGATGTGCATGAGAGTCTCTTGAATTTAAAGATAGTATTGTTCGTTGTGGATTGACAGTTCTTTCCATGGAATAAAAAGCATGTGGCAACCAACTGTTCCAAGATGTGACTCTGTCAAAATTATTTAGTGCTTTATTTTTCTCAAAAGAAAAATATGTCATTTTTATTACATGCTCTTGAGCTATAGTCAAGGAAGAACTGAATTTATTTGTCCCAGAGTCTGAAATTCTTAACTGACATAAAAATATTAGAACACAGACAAATTTTCATGCAGTTAAAGCTGAATTTTATAAGTTCTGATAGAATTTTGGCTATTTCACGACTTGATATACAATTAATGGTAGGTAGGTTCACAGAAAGATGGGAAAAGTGTGAAGTCCCATCATGGCCATTAGTAGGTGAGAAGGCTAATTTGGTTGCTAGAGCAGAGCCTGGAAGATTAGACTGGTTGCGTTTCTGATTCTGGATTTCTCCCAGGTTTCTTGACTGGTTTTAGGGTGGTCAGTCTGAATTCCAGTGACTTTGAGTTGCTGGAGGACTGGGTGCTTTCACATTGCATTTACGCTTGAGAGCATCTGTGGCAATCAGGCTTTATTCCCCCCATCCCTATCCTATAAGGAGGAAATAATAGTTACACACTGGTTTAAAAATCATCATTTTCTGCTTTGCCTTTGTAATGCACAACTGGCATACCCATGTAATACTGGAATCTGCACTGAAGTGCAGGATGGTATAATGGTTACTACTAATATTAAGGTGTGCTTGTACACCTTAGAGTCTCCTGAGCTATCTCAAAACCATCACAGACCAGTAGAGACTACTTTAAAAAAAACAACCAAAAAACCCCAAAACAAACAACAAAAAAAAAACCCAAAAATGCCCCCAGCCATAAAATAGTTCAAGAATTAAAACAATTCTATCTGTATATTGCATATAATCTCAGTTGTCTACCTTTAACTTTGTAAATGTTTTTTTTTTTGACCTTGCAATAAAGCTTTTTTTTTTTTAAACAATTTCATCATGTATTTTTTAAAATTCCTTATATCCCAAAATGTAATGGAAAAGATTGTGGAACTTCTCAGCATTGTAATCCCCTTAAAAAGACTCTGAGTTCATGCAATTACAGAATCCCTTAATCTGCTGACTCCAGCAGTGATGGGGTGATGCAGGCAAGGTCACTGGGTTATTTTCTCCTTCCTCTCCCATGGATTTTGCTGCACTATATAGGATAGAGGATACTACCAGGCTTTTTCTCCCTTGTTAAAAGAGCTTTTCAAGCAGGGAGAGGTTTTTGCCTGTCTCTTCCCTTTGTCACTGTTGTTGTATTTCCTTTTCTTCAATGGAACAGCAACAGTAACGGGCGTGATAGAATTTACTCGTTTTTTTTAATAAAACAGATTTATACAAATCAAGTCTTGTGAAATGCGTATGTTAACACCAAACCATTTTAAAAGTATTTTGTACGAAGACACCCCACCTTTGTATCAACAACTTCTCTGTCTGATGGAAGAGCCACTGCTTTTGCAGTGGGGGAGTTGTTCTGCACCGCGAGGTGTGATCGTGCTGGTTGCTCATCTCGTATCCCGCTGGCATAGAACAGAGTTTCAAGAAATACAGGGCAGCAGTGAGAAATATTTACATTTACTGTAATGATCTGCATATCCCAGAGATCCATTTCTGCTAGGTAGCAGGGATTTTTATTAATGAAACTCTGTATTGAAATGTTTAAGTTTGTAAAATTATTTTGATCACTTAATATTTCCACTATAAATTTGAAATAGTCCCATATAATGCATGTACGTATATGGGACATATACTGATGTAAATTAAAGTTATTTCTTACAAACAATATGCCTATCTAACATCAATGAATTGTTGGAATGAATCAGAAAAGATTAAATTAACTGAAATTTAATTTTATTTAAAAAAAATTGAAAACCACGCTAGCATCCATAAAAATTTAAAGCACATCAGAATATATTAAGCAAAACTGGTCTTCAGGTTTGATAAATGCCACCCTGCTGTTAATGATTATGTGAGCACAGAGTTACGCTTACGTGCAATTCTAGTCAAGGCAGCATTTTCTTGAGATGTGTGTGAACACTGGAGCTGTAGGGAAGGTTTCTGAGGTGGGATGTCACCTCCAAGAGCAGAGGGCAGCCTTGGATAAGCACACGCTCACAGGGGGAATGCTCTAGAGGATTTACTTCATAGCTTTTATATCACTCTGTAGGTCAATACAGAATTGGGTTTGATTTGTTTTTAAGAAAATAAACCAAGCGCTCTTTATTGTGATAGTGCCTATCTGAGGGAAATTCCAGGCATTTTAAGTAGGATTTTCTGTTTGTTCTTGGCTTTGCTAGTACTACTTTGCCCTGAAGTTACTCTAAGCAAAAATCCATCTGTCTCTTTCTGTCCATATGCATTGTGTATATACAGTGTTCATGGTTATTTTATTCGAGACTTTGCCATGTGCAAAAGGCATTGGACTTTCCTGTTTTCCTTCATTTTTGGCCACGTTTAATGACTTGTGGCAGCTGTCAGTCTTATTTGCAATATTGACTGCTAAGTTGAGATGGCTATCTTCCTCTATGCTTTTGGATCAGCAAGCGAGAGTGATTTGAGTGTTAATCAGTACTAATCCCCTCAGCAGAGCAGAAAAATATCAAAGCCTGACTAGAAGTAAAAATAAGGGATTATCAGAACCAGTTTTTCTTGGGGGGGGGGGGGGGGGGAGTCATAAGATAGCACAGTTATGGATTTGATGAGGCTAAATCTGCAGCAGGAGATGAACCGCTGAGCTTTCGACAAAGAGCCTGTCCAGGGGAGTTGTTCAAAGTTCCAATGAACTTAAGAAGCTGAACAAAACACCCTGACACAAACACCTTCCCCTTAGTTTAATGTCAGTGCAGAGGGGTTTGTCCTGGGGAGTAACGCTTGGAGATGATGAGAGAGGGGGAGACGTTACAGTAGTCTAAAGAGAACTGTAGCTCTGCAGAGAAACTTCATTGCAGGGCAGCATCCCATGACTGACCAGGCCAAAGTTATGCTTATGGAGCCAATAGGTGGTATTTTGAGATCGTACTGGTCTTATAAGACTTATGGGTAGTCTAAATTGGTCTGTGAGAGGGTCTGTCAAGAAATAAGGGTGAACCTCCCAGGAATCACAGTTGTGTCCTACTTATAAACCAGTCCCAACGTTCTTCTCTTTGGCTCTGATACCACATGCCTTTTGGGCTCCTAAAGATGAGGGCATGTGGCTCACAGTTGGGTCATGCTGAAATCTCCACATGCTACTCCAAACCCACCTGTTGGAGTAGCAGATTCTGAGGGCAGCAATGTACCAATGCAGGGTGGAGACTGCCTTTGATGTTTGCAAGGAGAAAGCATTGAGAAAATGTAGGTTTCTAAAAACATGGAGATTTTAGAGGAGCTTTGAGAACCTGACTGCTTTTCAAAGGTTAGCATTGTTTGCACACCCTACCAGTAAAGTATTTTGAACCTTTGCAAAGCAATGCTCAACAAGCTATCTCTTCAAAAATATCTGTTTCCACTGCAGCCATATGCTATTTTCTCTCCTGCGTAATGAGAGAGAAAAGCTGGGATCCTGTGTCCTATATATAGCCGCTGAAATATTCTGGCTCTTTAGGCAAACAGTCTGGTGTTTCATGGGTAGTTTTAGGCAAACACCTTTGGCAATTTGAGAATATTGGAGAACAAATCCATCATACTTAAAGATAAAGCACTGCACAGCTAAACAAACAAAATCTAGCCATAATGTCAAGACAGATTCTGGAGTTATTGATAAAAAATTAAGTTTAGTTTTTTCTAAACCTCATGAAAGAAGATTATATGAAATCCACTGAGGTTCAAAACTGAAAAGGAAATGATTAAACTGATGCCCCTCACCAATCCCCCACACTGAAGTTCAGAATATGCCAATATTAAATTTTGTATTTAAATTAATACCACCCCACAAATATACACATATATCTATATGCGCTACCAGTCTTTACAGAAAGAAACTTTGTAGACAATGAGATTCCAGGAAATCAAACAATTTAAAATTGTTGCTGGTCAACATCATAACCATAGTGCTAAATATAGATGCTAAAATACTTAAGTTTTAAATGTCATACAGATTAAAAAATATCATACCCCGCTAACGATAGTCGATTCACAACAACACCTCTTAAAAACTAGCCAGGTACAGAAACTTGATACAAGTAATGGCCTTAAAAAGGGAAGTTTCTGCCCTCGTAGCTGCTGTACCGGTCCAGTGCGATGCGAACCCCGTGCAGCCCCTCTAGTTGCATTTAGAGACTCCTCTAGCGATTGAGGGAAAGCAGCTGTTTTTCACCCGGGTCTTGTCTCAGTCTCTAATCTCTGGTGTTGCATGTCCTGGGCAGGCAAGCGTGGGCGACGCAGCAGTGCAGGATCGCTAGACAGCAATATGGAAGTAAGTAGGAAGTTCCTGATGTCTAGCTGGATGTGATGATGTGCATTTCAAACCTTTCTTTTATATACATATTTTTTTGCTCTTTTTTCTTCTAACATATAACCTGCCTGCCTCAAGTAAAATGCATGCCTAGGCTACTCACTCCGTATTCTTCCGGCTTAAAAAGCACTGACAGCTTGTTTTAGACCAATGCCATTTTTGGTTTGAGCTAACCTTGTTCCCTTTGTTCCTGCAAGCATGGTGAAATGAATATGATGTGTCCTTTTGCCACCATTTCAGTCTGGTCCCAGCTTAAAAGCCCACTTGCTCTTTGTTACAAAGTACACTGTTCTTGCTGTTTGATATTTAGCTACAACTATTGACTTTCATGCTCGACCATTCCCATTGCTTATTTTCAAGTTAAATTGCTAAATGTATGCAGTCATGACACCATGGAATTGCACAGATAGGGCATGGGAGGAAAAAAATTATTAAGATAGGTGAATTCAATGTGGATTTCATGAGATTTCATTCATCTTCAAACCATTTATATATATACTGTTCATGTCTCTGAATTCAGCTTGCAGATTTTTTTCTTTTTTTTTTTTTCTCTTTTTTTTTGTGTGTTTGCTGTAGGTAGATTGCAGTCTAAATCTAGCACACTTTGCCTAAGTACTGTTGTGTCCCATAACTCTTTTTAAAAAATATATAGCCCAAACTTCCAGAAACTAAATACACCATTCCAGGCTAAATAATAGAGAAGGTTGGACCCCAGGTCAAAAGAACACAATCACATAGAAATCTTAGTGGCAAAAATGGTGTGGTTCCATTTAACACATAATTCAGAAGTAGGCTTGAGAAGCAGCACCGTGGCCTATAGTAGTGGAAAACTACTATAAAAAAAAAGTTTAAAATACTGTTTTGAAATCTGAATTGTAACTGTAATATTTGCTGCTGTGTGTTTAACTATTTAGGTTGAATTTAATGTAGTTATATTTTTTGTTGTAAAAAAGCAAATATGGTATTTTTTTACAGTATTTAAAATGTATTTTTCCTTTAAAAACACATTCCTAGATCTTACGTCATGTTACTCTTCCGTGACATTTTTCTTATTTAAAGTCATAGCTTTTGATATTAAAGTACTGAGAGAAAAACATTTAATGCTTAAAATATCCCCAGAAGGGCATGAACCGCCTCACTGGCAACTTAGAGAAGGTGGAAATAAATTTTTTCCTAGAACTCTTAACATAGTCCACCCATGTGAACACTGAAGGAGGAGTTTGTGGGTCAGTGTGAACTTTTTTCTTTTAAACATTTTAAGATTTTTTTTTAATTTTTATTTCTATTAATTTCTTTTTAGGGGTCCATCATTAGCAGTCCTCACATGCGCCGAAGAGCTACATCAACCCGAGAGTGTCCATCTCGCCCTCACCAGACTATGCCTAACTCCTCCTCACTCCTAGGTTCCTTATTTGGTAGTAAAAGGGGAAAGCCACCTTCCCAAGGCCATCCACCATCTGGCTCATCCCAGCAGCCTCCGCACCCTGCAGTAATCCCCCATCAGCCGCACCCCCAGCACCCCCCTGCCCTGCACCACGCGGGGCCGGCCGAGGGGCAGGCGCAGGCGCCGGTGCACTCGCACCACTCGCAGTACTGTCACCTGCAGCAGAACCCCCCGCCCTACCACCACCACCACCACTACCACCCTCCCCAGCACATCCAGCACCCCCACCAGTACCACCAGCACGTGCCGCACGCCCAGCACGCTCCCTACATGCAGCACCCCCACGCCCAGCATTCC